ATAAGCACGAACTTATTCTACCATAGACACAGCTCACTAAGGTCTACAAAATGCGCTAAGTCCCGACTTGAAAGCGCTCGGGCACCTGGGAATGTTCCCTCGTTAGAATTCAAATAAAGAATGTTAACATTGTTAAATACACTATAGAATGATTGCATAAGGATTATTGGTGAATTTTGTATAATGATGAGTGGGCTCGATTGTTTTAGATTCCACTCCTGATCAGAACAAAGTTTTTGCTCTGGTTTTGCATCTCCAAGAAAACTCGATTTTTGTGACAAGCAGCAATTTGTTGCAAATTCAATAACTTGACGACAGAACGTTCTTTTCGGCTGAAACTTTCAAAATATTCTAAGAGTCATTCGATCTATTTATGAGCTGAATTTTGAGTTTGAAATTTAACTATTCGATTTTTCAGAAAATATTTAAATATGAGTCAAAAATTTAGTAAAACAGTTATAACTCGATCCCAGACACCCATGGAAACGAACTCTTTTCTAGGATTTTCTAGTCTTACCAAGATCTTCTTGTTGTTTGAATATGATACGGATTACAGTTTGGGTAGTTCCTTCGTCAGTATTTTTTAAAAGAAAATAATAATATTCTAAATATTTGATAGGGTTCTATGGGTCTATTATTATCATGGTTTAATTTTCTTGTCTACATTCGATGTATACCAATAATTGGTATATATGTTGTAATGCTAGAAGTTATTTCAAAAAAATTTGTACGTTTTCTACCGGTTCTTCTTGTAATTATAAGTGGTTTTGGTTTTACATATTATGCTTTACTTCAAAATCAAGAAGTTTATTCAACACCAGTATTATCATTAATTAAAACAAGTTTAATTATGTTCGAAATGAATTTTGATGATAGAATCTATAAACAATCTGAAGGTGGTATAAATTATTATCTAGCTACATTTCTACTTTTTATTCTTACTGGTTATGTCATGAGTGTATTTGTTATTAATTTATTAATTGGTATATATATTATATATTTCGTTTTTAATAAATTTTCATTTGATTTTATTTATTGTTTTGATATTAGGTTTGGCTGTTGGTGAAATTCCAACATTAGTTCAACAAGGTACACTTCTTCAAAGTCGTATTTATTATGATACATTATCTGATTATGAAATACTTCGTTTACAAATACGTTCCGTAATACTATGGATATTATCACATACATGTTGTTGTTGTTCATCATCATTTAGACATAAATTATATCGTCTTGTTGATCGATCATTTTTACATCAACATCCTATTTTATTTCAAACAAAAGATCGAAAAGAAAATAATGTACTAGAACGTATTGGTCAATATCTAAAAAAGAATGTTTTAAATGAACAAATACAAGAAAGTGTTGATGAAGAAGTTAAACAACAATTTGAAAAAAGAAAAAAAACAAAAGGTCAACGAGCTGATAATGATGAACAGCAAGAACAAAAAGAATTAGCTAATTTAAAAAGTAAAAAAGGACCTAAATCATAATTTATGATGCTAATATGTCATATGAAATCTATTTTTTTAATCAAAGTTTAATTATTATGAAAAAACTATTGCTTCATCAAAATTACCTTTTTTTCAAATTGTATTGAATAATAAAAAATGATGATTAAATTCTATTCGTATGAAAACAATTGTGATTTTCGATAAAACGTTAGTATTATATTGTAGTATAGACTTGACATTAATTGATTAGATTTTAAAGGAAACATAGAAAATAGTCTTATGGTATATATGATTATATTCTAATTGATTGGTATTATTCTTGAACAACAAAATTGTTAGTCCACATCCGAACTTTAGATCGTACCGATTTAATATCGATATTAATTGTTGTCAATTTTTAGAACTTTGTTACTAGAGGAAGATATCTACTAAACCCCCTCCTGCATTAGAAGACCCCCCCACATTAGTAGACCCTCCCATAATACAAGACCCCCCTGGACAAAAATTTCATCAGGTGTAATAGAAGACTCCCCTTTAATTAATTAAT